CAAACAATGTTCACGCCGCACGCCAAACCGGCCACCAAGCGTCTGTGTGTGCAACTCAATTGTATGCTTCAAATTATGGCGTATCACAGGTTATGCAGAAAGCCTGTTAATCGATCAATCAAAGCTAGTCATTGCAGGGGCGAAGAATACATACGGTATCTCACGGACGGGCGAAATGTACACGGTAAGGGAAAAGCCATTAAGCATAAGATTCAGTGTCAACCGAAGCTAGTCACAAAGGTGAGGTAACAGAAAACGTATGCGGGGAACCGTAAAAGAGGACGGCGTGAATAGGGGTGAGTGGAATAAAACTCACAAAATAAAGGAGTGTAGTGGAGTATTCTTACCTCCGCTATAACAGTTGTCTTGCTCTATTATCCATAGATCGCATTTCTGCGTAGCAAGTTGTAACTGCTGCTCTCCCACTAGAGTTCTGAGCAAACGAGCTCTGAAGTTTGCTTTTCGCAAGGTGACTGGAGGCGATTTTTGGATGTCCACTTATAGACCCGATGACCTCGCCAATTTTTGAACCCCGCTATATTTATTGCATATTGCAGACCCACCGTAATTGTATTTCCCGATATAAAATGTTTCTTTTATTTGGTGCATCAATTTGCCCTTTGCGACTGTTTGTTCAGGAAAGATGTGCTCGAAGAATATGTAAATAGTAGAAGAGTGCTTTTTACCCTTAGTTTGGGATGAGTGAGGGTTTATAGCAAAACGTCATCACCATTCAATATATCTAGCGTTGTGAGACAGAGATGCCCGCTGTCGCTTTTACTCATTGACTTCGCTATTAACGAAGTCATGGACATTGCTTTCAATGGAAACGACTTAGAAGGTATGCAGCAGCATCCTAGCCAGTGACTTCCTGACTTGAACTATGCCGTTGACATTGACCTAATCTGTGACAACTCCCAAATATGCAAAGCATCCCTAGCCAGATTAGCGCTGCCTGTCAGTCGTTTCGTGCTATGCTTTGCATCTCGAAAGGCAAAGTCATTCTCCAAAATTAGCAAGACCCACTCCTTCGCTGAACTTGTTGGTGATAAAATAGCAATGTCGATGATTGAAAAGAGGTTGAGTGTAGAAATATCGCTTCTTTCCTACTATAAGTGGTATGTGGATGATATTTTAGTGTTTAACTCATCAGAGGAGCACGTTGCGCGTCTGGTCGATCGTCTGAATAACGTGCACACGAATCTGAAAGTAACCAGCGAAACAGAGAAAAGCAACTGCCTCCCATATCTGGACGTGTTGATTTGCCGAGGAGCAGATGGGTCCATCAAAAGAGAGGTTTACCGAAAACCGACTTGGTCAGGTCAGTACCTGCACTTTACCAGCTTTTCCCCAATGCGGTACAAGTGGACTTTAGTCCAGACGCTATTCAACCGTGCAAGGAAAATA